TTACAGTTAAAAGGTTATACAAAAACAACATACCTTCTTTTAATGAAAACGTTAGATAATGGGGGAGAAAAATGAAGGTTTCAGAAAATGCTTACAAGTAGGCAATAAATTCATTGGCTGCCCACTTGTGCCCCCTAGTGGATAATAGGACAACAAGTACTGGAATATACTTAAAGCTTGAAATGACAAGGTAGGTACTTCATAAACTGCTGAGAGAGACAGGGAGGGTGGGAAGTGGGAGAGAAAGAGAAACAAAGTGACTCACATCAAACTTGGCAGTGTGTGAAATCCTCCTTTTCGGTCCAGAAATGTTTTGGTAATATTGCATATCTAATTCCATTTGGTTTCCTGAAGGCTAATGGGAAAAAGATAAGACTTATCCAATTTCAGGGTAGTAAAAGCAAAGTTATGTTTCCTGAAGAGCCACAAGAATCCAAGCTATAATATACTAGGCAAATTATTAAAAAATAATTCAGAAAAAATAATTTAATTTGGATAATCTGACATGCATAGATTCCTATAAAAGATATCTCTAATTTGGGAAATCAACTATAAGTTACTGTACATAATACCAGGGTCTCTGGAAAATGTCAAGTCTGCAAGACATGATGGCTGGCCAATTACCAAGGTTTTGCCTTATTTTAATACATTATATTATTTTATTTTATGGTACGCGGGCCTCTCACTGTTGTGGCCTCTGCCGTTGTGGAGCACAGGCTCCGGACGCGCAGGCTCAGCGGCCACGGCTCACGGGCCCAGCCGCTCCGTGGCATGTGGGATCTTCCCGGACCGGGGCACGAACCCGTGTCCCCTGCATCGGCAGGCGGACCCCCAACTACTGCGCCACCAGGGAAGCCCTATTTTAATCATAAGCATTGGAAATATATATAATAGATGTTATATATATTCTATAGAGTTTAGAATATAGAGAATATATATTTAAGGGAAACTCCTTTAGATTTAGGAAAAGGATTTTTAAAGAAGTGACCAACCTGCTTAGCAGTCTCTCCCTTATGAGCTTTGCTTCGTGTGAACTTATTGAAAATTCGAAGACATTCCTTCACAGTGTCATCAGAATCAGAGGGAGTGTCATCTTCAGTACATTCCCTATCAAAATCAAATTTAACTAATCTGTTGCCTTCAGAAGTAGTGAAGTCTTGACTGTCGTCTTGTACTCTCAGAACTTTGTCTTTCACGTGATTGTCTGAATAAGAGAACTGGAGTTGGCTTGGTGAGTATCGCCATTCAGTTTCTTCTTTTGGAGTATCATCAATTGTTTTTACATGTCTTCTGCTCTTTGGATGACTTTCATTATGACTTGCCTTCTGTATTTCTTTGTCACTGAGAGGTGCACAAGTTATATTTTCTCCTGAAATACAGACATGCTTTTCCTCACCATCGAAGCTTTCCATCTTAGAAATGTGGTTTTTAACACCACACAAGTTTATGTTAGTTTTAGTATCTAGTGAGGTTTTCATGTGTGATTTTGGTGGTTCTAACTTGTTACTGTCATCATCTTTTTGTGTGGTTAGTTGGGTTTCATCTATCTTTTCCTCTTCTATACCACTGATCTGAAGATTTCTCTCCTCCAGGGGCAATACTTGTATCTTTTCATCCATATTCTGATATTTAAAGCCTCTAAATGGTTTAGATTTCTTAGAAGTAGGAATGATTGGAGGTACATCCATTACAAGGTCATCTTCATCAGAATCTTGAAGATTTATTTTAATTCGTATTGGTGAAACGTAAGGTCTTTGGCTCTCCAGGGACTTGTGGCAATTTCCACCCACAGATTTTTTCCAGAAGTGCTGCCTGTCAGTCTCACCCTGCTTTGCTTTAGATGCCCCAAGCAGCCCTGCAGAATAATTGAGCAAGGGATCATATTCAAGGTCAGTTGCTGGACATCTGTGGTCCATCACGTACTTTCTAGGCTGACTCTCTTTGCTCTTTGACGGTTCATTCCACTGTTCTTTTGGGAGCGGGCTATTTTCAGGAAAACCTTGTCTCACATTTGTGTCATTCAAGGAGGCCACGGGGCTTTGCGATAGCTCTTCAAGCGCTAAAGTAAACCTGGAGAGTCTCTTCCGCTTTTCTGCAACCTCAGCCTTGACTGACTCGATTTCTTTGTTGATTCTTTCCAATTCTTCCATAGTTGTGCCTAGTGTTGTTAATGGAAGATGAGTTTATCTTTAAACATCACTTAAGATGAAATGTGGACTCCAGAATATCCTGGACAATGAGTTTCCTATCACAAGGACATTAACTTTTCCAAACCCAGCCTTAAATGCAGGGACTTGCTGACTAACAGGTCAGTTCCTGGAATGAGAATGTCAACGGCTATCACTGATTAAGTCTTTCAAATGTCTAGCTCATTCCCATGACATTAAAGTACATTTGTGTCTTATTACTAGAGTAACTATACATCTTTGAGATAGGCCACGTGTATACATATTAAACTGTGTCAACCATGACACGGTTTGGATATACACTATTCACCTTATTATTTACCAAGCAGTGACAATTTGGTAATAGTTCAAATAGTCGAACGCCTCTTACACAGAACTGTACATAGTCTCACACACCAATATACGTCCTCTGTCACAAGGAAGTTTTTTTAAAACATTAGTTTTCTTAATTTAGTGGTTCTTAACATTCTCACTAAGGTCCCTTATATTCTACAGAATGCCTCAAACACCAAATTAAGCAAAACACACCCTTCCACAACCAACCGACCATTAAAAAAAACCTTAAACAAAATAAAAAAAATAGAACTCCAGACCAGTTGGATCCACACTCCTGAGGAAACCCAGGACAGCGACAAGAGATCAGGCTGCTAGTCATGGCTCTTCACAATAACTGGCAGCTCCTTTCCTGACTTTTTACTAAGGAAATCCCCACCTCTTCCCTCTTTCCAAGATCTACTTTCCTATGGAAATTATGGGATAATTTACATACTTCTCTCTTCTCCCAAACAAGAAATTTCAGATACGAGATGTGGTCTAAATTACACTCGTTAAAACTCTGAGTTTATTTTAGATAACCTACATGTTTTGATAACACACGTGCTTCCTCTTTACACAATGAGCTTTCTCCTGGCTCACTAGCTTTTCAATTTACCATTTGTTTTCTATTAAGAAATCAACTCTATTGAAATCCAAAACAACGTGTGTAACAAAGGTGTAGGACATTTTGATGGAGTAGGAAAAAGGCAAAGGGCAGGCACAAGAATGAGATCCTATGTTCCAAACATAAACAAATGGCTCTAATTTCTTTTTAAATAAACTTGGAAAGGGGAGTAAACTCTGGGTAACCAGCTAGAACTGCATTTGGGCATAAGCTGGGTTTTATCTGGTTGCCATGATTCAGGAAAGGCTATTTAAGCAGTGCGTTGGGATACTATTGAAAAAACGAACGAAAAACTGTACTTTCCCTCCATGTCAGAAGTTTAATAAAATTTTTTTGCTCCATCAGAAGCCAGATTTGGAGGGCAAATTTTGAAGTCTGAGGCACACTTACAACCTTCGCTCAGGGTACAGGTGATTGGAAACAGCTCCTTCTCAAACAGCTCCTCTTCGCCACAACCGGGGTCCCACCCCACCCATCACCTTTCCCCAGAGCACAGGAAGCTCCTTAGAGTAATTCCATACTGGGGATGGATGACAGGAAGCGAGGATAAAACCACACAAGACCACGCACGTGCATGTTACTGTGCATGCCTTTCTAGGATCGCGCGTTCCCAGGAGCTGGCATCACCGGTCCGCACACGCCGGTCCACAGCACGCTCCTCGCCCAGCCTCCCTGGCCACGTGACTTTGGCCCCGCCCCGCTCCCCCCCTCCGCAGCCTTGGGGGCGGGGTGGCCACCCACGTAGAGCCGGCCTGGGAGCTGAGCTCCCTGTTACTGGGGCGGAGATTCTCTGCGGATGACCAGCCTGAGCCAACCATCTTCCCGAATGTCCCTGGGACGCCCCTGCTCCCCGGTTTCAGGAACTGTGTGACCAGCCCAAAAGGCTCTCGAAGAACGTCCTCAAACAGGATCTTGCATAGCACCCTCACTGCTTGGTATATGTCGAACACACTTGACGTGGGAGGGGCGAAGTAAGAGGTACTAAGGACTAGCCCTTAAGGCTCCTGAACCTGGGTGTGCGATGCTGGGAAGATTTACTCTTGGGAACTCTTAACAACTTGGTTCCTCGTTCGAAGGCAAGTGCTCGTTTTCCTCTTGCCCATAATAGCCACTCTATAGGAATTGCCCTTAAGTAGGTAGGTGGGAGTAAACAGCCCTTTTTGAGGGCTGGGGAAGAGACAGATTATGGGCTTCAGAGAAAGGAAATGCAAGGGTGTTTCGGAATGGGGGGAAACCAGTTAAAAAGGAACTGGTTTTATTTTGTCCTTTAAGAGGAAACAAACACATCAGAGGTCCAGACAACCTGTTTAGGAAATGCAGGTTTAGTCATGGCATGGAGGGTCAGCAGGGGACAAATGAAAAGACACTCCTCCTCCCAGCACACATACACACCAGCCTGGGCTGTATGACCCTCTCCTCACTTCTAGGCTAGGGGAGGGGGTAGAAGAAAATGAACTTCAGTAAGGACTACCTGACATTCTTCATGCCCCGCCCCCAATACCATGACTGCACTTTACGATGCTACCTACAATGGTATCTGCAAGTTATGCCAACTGAGGATGAGAAACCAATTTTAAAAATATATATAGTTAACATCTCTTTTGGCCCTTTTAGGCATAGTAAAGCCATATCGAGTAACTTTCTCAAGGTACAGTACATTAGTACTGGAGACAAAAGCAACCCTTACACCTCTTTCCAAGCAAGAAAATTCGTGGTCCCTTCCAAGGGTGGGTGGAGTAAAAAGGTGGGAACGGTTGGTAGCCAACCCCTCCCCAAGCCCACCTGACATTCTACACACAAGCCTTTTCTCACCCATGGGTTCAACATGGCTCCGCTGCACTCCGAGCACCTCCAAGCTGCTGCAACAAGCTGCCTCACTCAGTTCCCACCGCATTTCCCTGTGCCTGAACTGGCAGCACAAACGCTGGCACCGACCCCTGGGGCTGTCAAAAGGGCGTGGAAAATGGCAAAAGTAACCCACGGAGGGCGGCATGGGCTGCTGCCCAAGGCCACCTCTTCTGGCTTCGAAAATTGTGTGCACCGATGGCAAAAGCAGGCAAAGCTTAACACACACCCTGCTACCTCTTCTCCAGCCAGGGTACCGCCTTATATAGTCTGTTGCTACTCGAAGGCGGAGCTTCGTAGCTTTCCCAGCCAATGGGGAGGTTGGGGCTGGCGTCAGGGGAGAAAATAACGAGGGAGGGAATGACCCAGAGAACGGGTGGTAGGGCCGCGTCAGGTGAGTGTAGTGTGCGTCTGTCCTCCATGGGGAAGGTTTATAAAGACCTAACCTACAGGTAGGGAAAACAATTTCCCAAGAGCGGAAAGGACCCTTGGATTAAGGAATCTCCTGCCTTGTGGATGCCTACCTTGTTCCTAAACAATATCCTTTGACTTATAATGAGTTTGGCTATTAACCTTCATGGATCATGGAGAGAACCTCAGCTGTGAAGCACACCTAAACTTTGCCTCTCTCTAGCAGGTGATCTTAGGCAAGGTATCTGACTTACCCGAGTTCTCCTTTCTTGATCTGTAAAATAAACTTGCCTTTCCTTTCATAGGGTAGTAGAATTCAGTGTGCTGTAATGTACCAAAGTGCCTAGCATAAAGTAGGTGAGAATTTAGGAGGACAAGTTCTTCCCCTTCCCATCATCAACACATATCCACAAAGGACCTGGTACATGTCCCTAAAATCCTTCCAGTTGAAACTGATTCCTAAAAGGGAAACAGTTCCCTATTCCATTGTTCTTCTTTGTAAACTGAAAAACTCCTAGGATAGATAGGCTCATAAGTCACTGATGACTTCAATGAGTCTTTGAGATGTTTGCTTTTCTTTCAATAGCACATACTGAGCCTGGGTGCTTGGGGGTGCTTGGGGGAAGAGAGAAGGAAGGGTCCTTCAGCTCTAAAAGATTCAGGGTCCATGCTGGGATCCCTCCTTCCTTTCTTTTCTTCTGAAAAACAATGTTATCTCAAACGGTTATGGATACTTTAGAAGGTCCTAAATCTCACTGTCCTATGAGAGGACCCTGATGACTTGGAAACAATTGAAGAATGCTAAGAGTCTCTAGTGCTAGTTTTGTCTCTTGATACGGCGCACCTGTTTTGCCAGTAAAACATAAACAGGTGTGGTTTTTTTGCTTTGGTGGTGGGGAGGGGCGTAGTTAATAGTGATTACCCTGAAAGTCCTCAAAATGCCCCCAAGTAACATAAAAAACTAAATGTTCTCATTTTAAAAAGAACCAGCCTAGAATGAATACTTTCCTTAAGTCACTTTCCAGGATCAGTTTTACTTGATGAAATTTTCCACACCTTAAGTTATTTCCTTCTATTTTTTTCCATTAAATAGTTTTTATAGCTGAGAGATTTTTTATTGAATATGCCCTCCTTTTAAAACACCAGAAAGTTTGAAGGTCTCAGCAGAGTTTCCAAATCATAACATGAGTGTCACCAAGATATTTTTTATGACAAAAAAACTAAAGTTGTCTATTCATCAGTGGGTTCCTCTCTCTGTTCCTCACTCTGAAGTCTGACTCATCATTCATGCCTGTCTCATCTGAGCCTGTGGATACCATGTCGGTTGTCCTAGATTTTGACCTTGTGTCTGATTTCCTAATTCTGAAGAAGTGGTGCCCCAAAATGTGCTGCTCTCAGCAGTCTTAGAGAAAGATGTGTCTGATATGCCTTCTAATGGATGAAAGTAAGAAAGAGTTGCCAGCTCTGGGTTGACAGAGTATTCACCACTCTGACAAGCTTTTTTATATCTGAAAAAAAAGAAAAACATACATCAAAAATTGTTTTTAATTGTGCACGTTTGCAGCTTGGCTTAAAAAAGCATCTTAAAGTGATACATGAATTCTGTCCAATGTATTAGCTATTTATTATAACACTGTATAAATGAATGAAAAAAATGTTAGACCCTACACAGGTGTGCTATATAGAACATAGGTCATAGCCCTTTTGTTTCAAGGCTATTAAAAAAGAATGCATTTCTAGATTCTCTATATCCTTTCCAATTGACTAGGGTTGTTTCTATCTCTAGATGACTATTTAAAATATTGGGAAAAAGTCCAAGTGGGATATTCCCTGAGAGACAGCCTCATGCTCCTTTCCAAATAGGGGAAATGGAGCCAAAATGAATACCTTATAAACTTGGGAGTCACGTTTGCCTAGCACTCTACTAAAGAGAGCAGGTTGGGTGTTTCCTCTCATGTGTTTTAAAGACTCCAGAGGTCTGTAGACTTACTTCATTGTCTTCATTTTGTACAGCACGGCACTGCAGATTGCCAAGAGGATGACAAAAAGGAAGAGAGTCATCAACGAGATGCCCAGCATTAACTTTAATTTGGCTTCCTGTAGTTCTGCCAGGTTGTCTTCATCTGTAGCATTCACATCAGAGTCTGAGAGGAAAGAAAGAAAATGCAATGGGAAAGAGAGACTCTGTTCAGCACGTTTTCCTGGAGGAATAAGGATCGCAAAGCAACTGAAGAGAAGCCTTCACCACCCGGAGTCTTCACCGAATTCTCCCCGCTACCCTCATGCAATGCAAAGGAGAAGGCTCTAGGCCACTCCCTACGGCCAAGTACTCTTAACTTTTTTACCTTTCCCCTTCACAGCAATCTTGGGGGAGCTGTCCTTTGCTCCATTTTCCAGGATCACAGAAGTTTATGGATTTGCCCTTGGTACATAGCTAATAAGTGGCAAAATTTGGTATCAAACCCAGGTTACCAGATGTTAAAATATGTATCAGACTTCCTCCCTGAATAATAAAAGAAAAAAAATTCAAGACTCTGAAGAGATTACTATTAAAAATGTGATGAAATTACACACAAGGGATTAGTCCTTCAAGAGAGAAAGATGCAATTCTACTGTTGGGACATACATTGACTTTCTTTTAAGCTAAAAGGATGATGTACTACAATGCTTTCTCCACAAGGCTTAAGAACTGAATTTGTGGGGTTCCCTGGTGGCGCAGTGGTTAAGAATCTGCCTGCCAACACAGGGGACATGGGTTCAAGCCCTGGTCCTGGAAGATCCCACATGCCATGGAGCCACTAAGCCTGTGCACCACAACTACTGAGCCTGAGCTCTAGAGTCCGCGAGCCACAACTACAGAGCCTGCATGCCACAGCTACTGAAGCCCACGCGCCTAGAGCCTCTGCTCCACAACAGAAGCCACTGCAATGAGAAGCCCGCGCACCACGATGAAGAGTAGCCCCCACTCACCGCAACTAGAGAAAGCCCGCACGCAGCAACAAAGACCCAATACAGCCAAAAATAAATAAATTTATTAAAAAAAAAGAACTGAATTTGCCATTTTATTACTGTGATCAAATCTAGTGTACTTGATGTTAAAGAAATGGAAATTTAGTTAAATTTCTAAAATACATTATATAATAAAAATCATGTCTGGATCCAGAAACGTCAAAAGTCTTTTTACTAAAGTAATGAAAATATATCTTTACTGCCAAATTTTATATCTTCCTGAATATACGTCTGACTTAATAGGCATTTAATGGTGACTTTAAATAACCATGTTGCTATTTCTCTCCTTTCCCCCAACCTCCTCCCACCCAAAAGTTCCAAGGGTTTTCATGATTTTCTAGGTAATGATACTTTGGTAATAAGAATGACAAGCTCCCATGTCTAGCTCTCTGATATTTAAAAAACTTGTAATTGTCCAAGTGCAATCCTAGGCCAAGGGGAGTGAATCAAGATATCAATGACTGATATCTTGACTTTGAGGGAGATTATTTTGGGAATAAACAAATTATGTTAAAATGGACTGTGCTCCTGAATTGCTTTGCTTAAAAGGTTGTTTGTAAATAGGTGTGCTTATAGTACATTTTGTTTATCAAGGTGGTGGTCAAAACTAGAGAAGGGTTTGAAATTCCTAACCACTGGAAATTATAGAAAAGCTAATTACAAGTTTGGACAGCTTTTTTTCTTTTTTCTTTTTTCTCTAAGCCTCAGTTTCCTCATCGGTAAAATGGAGATAATACCAACTTTCATGGAGTTGCTGTGAGGGCTGACATAATAATGTATGTATAGTGTAGTATGTGCTCAATACGTAATAGAAAAATCAGTGATGGTCATTTTAATTACTTGAAAGACAAAATATTTCTAAAGCATTTGTCAGTACTCTATATCACTTTTCTAAACAAAGAAGACTGACTCTGTTTTCTTGATGCACTGAAAGGCAAGTGGCTGTACTTGTCAAATAATCCAGTACAGAATTGAGGTGACAGGCCTTAGATGTATTATCAGATGCTATTTCTTTTTCAATGTCTTTTTGTAGGACAGAGGTTTGGGGAAAATTAATATATTGCCTCATTATGAAATGGAACACCAATGGAAGATATTAATAACAGGGGAAACTGAGCAGGGGGAATATATGAGAACTCTGTACTTTCTACTCAATTTTTCTATAAGCCTAAAACTGCTCTAAAAAAGTCTGTCAATTTAAGACAACTGCATCCTAAATATTGTTCACTTGCCTACTCCTCCTTCATTTGGTTTACTGTTTCAGGAATATGAGTTACAAAACAGGGAGATGGAAATAGTCATCTGCAACGTGGTCATTGAAGAACACTGTCTAGGAACAATAACTTTCCTAAAATTGTAAATGTCCTCTCTGGTATGATGTCAGCCACCATGCTACCTTCTTACATATTCTATACCTTACTGAGGAAAACAGTATCACCATGTAGACACTAAAATGTGTGAAAGTATTTATGTATCCCTTTAATTGAAGTATTTTGTTCTTACTTGGAATTGGGTGAAAAAATTGATCTCATTGGTTGTCCTCATTGGTGGTTGCATTTATAGCTGTTAAAACAATAAATTGGTGTTATGGTAAACAAAATTCACTTACTTTTGTGTGTGTATACAGCTTATTCTCATTGTTCATGGTAGTCATGGTAGTTAAGCTATGTGAGCACTGAATTAGTGAATACTGAACCATCATTGTTCCTAAGGGAAATACAGGGTTAGGTTCCTGTGAGCCTCTGGTCACTACATTTTCATCAACCAATCAATATCTAACCTTGTTTTATGTGTGTGTTTCTGTTTAGAGACACTTTATTTAGTATATGCTGCTGATTCATCAACTTTGAGCTCACAATGAACAGCATTATAACTCACACCTACATGAAGCTTATATAATACACACACTTTTCTCCTAAGGTACATCTTGCGTTTAGGAACATTAAACAGCATTGTACTACTATACTTGGGGGGCATTTAAAATAGCAAAATCGCCAACAGAAAGCACAAAAATGCGAAACACCCAGCACTAAGTAGACCACAAAAAAAGGAACTTGTTTAAAGCATGAGAGCTGAAAAAAGAAGTCCTTTGTTCTACCTCAGCTCAGAACAAGAGCATCAGGCAACTAAATTTTTTTTGCTACTCTGTGTGTGTCCACAAATGACTGTGAAAGTTCTGCAAGTGGAGGGTTCCAGATAAATTTTAGATACAGGTAAATTCACAAATACAGAATCTGCAAGTTAGGATCCATTGAATATGGTATGTATTTCACATTTATAACACATGCATATATGTGTGTGATAAATGAATTCTATTTATACATGTATGTATATATAGATGATATGCATGTTACATTTATACATGCATACATACAAATGCTATGCATGTTACATTTATACATGCATGATTGTACATTTATGATTTATATATTACTTTTATGCATGCATATATTTTGATATATATTTTGCATTCATTCATGCCTCTCCATGTGCATACTGCTCCAAATACAAAGAGGGATTATACTGAGCAAGAGCCTTATTTAACATTTTTAATCATAAATTAAATGACTAGATTGCAACATTTGTAGGAAAATAAGAGTTTTGGGGAGAGAATCAGAAAATGTGTGACACTGATCAGCTTTCTGGGTTTGTTTTGCATTTGCTATTACATGTGATGATGGCAGCAAAATGTTGACTTATTAATTCTTAGTATTAGAACAATTTACACTGATCTTGTCTTTCTTACAGAAGACTTTAGAAAACCGAAACATTTTCCCAGCTACCTAACTACTATGAGTTTACCTTTAGCTAACATTCTCCAAAATGCAGGCTCATTTGGACTCTGGGTTGGTTCTGTTTAAAAAACAAAATAGAACATGATAACAAAATAAGGTAATTTGGCTTCAGTAAATTTTTGATAGAACATTCATTCGTTTGTTACTTCAGTCAACTAAAAGTTATACCTTGAGTTCCTATCATGTGCCAGACCCTGTGGTTGGCATTAAAGTTACAGAAATGAACAAGGTCTTATGCTCAAGGAACACACTCTCAATTTGGGAGACAGACAAGAATCACTGTTAATTATGTTGCAGGGTAATGAGGGCTTTCATAGCGATGCACAGGTGGTATGCGCAGAGAGATCTAATTCAACTTCCAAAAGCCAGAAACACTTTGAGAGGGAGCCAATGCTCCCGTATAGGCTCAGAGGACTAGAAATTGTTTGCCAGACAAACTATGTAAGAGAGAGGTCATTCCACTGTGAGCAAACTCAGGTGTCATAAGCAGGTTCGGTAAGCTCTGAGAGCTTCAGGTATTCTGGAGTGGAGAATGTGGGTGAGGAATGTGACCAGAGATGAGACTGGCAAGTTCTTCAATGGCCAGATCATTTCAGACTTGAATGCCTGGTTAAGAACTTATAATATGACCCCAAACCTAGTAGAAAATTACTGAAGGTATTTAAGAAGGGGCCAACCAGGATGATCAGATTTCTATATTTAAATATATCAAGAAAGTGAATAATATTAGAGTAATCATATGAGAAACATACTTGGATTGCATGAACTGGAGAACATAGGGTTTCATGTAATAACAGTCCACTGTCTTCAAATTAGACCACTCCTCTTTCAAGACCTTAGAGGAGAGCCATCCTGGGTTGTTATTTTTTCACAAGTATTTTATAAGGAACAATATTCTTGTCAGAAAAAGTAAAAGGATAATTTTGATTTTGTAAACTCTCACTCTGAACTTTCCCTCATTAATAATCCTAGGAAACACCAACAATTGACTCTAAGCAGAGGCAAGTTTATTTCTCAAGCATGTGATTGTTATATCATTATTTAAAAATTATATTAAAATGTAGTAAATATATTTATATAAATATATATTTATACACACATGATATTTTAGATAAATATATATTTAATATAAATGTAATACATTTTACTAAATAATAAATTTTACTAAAATAAAGTTGTATTTTAAAAAGAGCTCACTCCTATCACTTGTCAAGTAAATCTGAAAATTGAGTCTTAGATTTTGTTACCATTTAAAAGATTTTAGAGTGACTTTAAATTGTAGTAGTACAAATTCTTTAAGCATGTTATTACTTTACGAAATACTCAGATTAATGAAAGTTAAATTTTTAAGTCATATAATGATAAGCTCCAGGTCTGACTACAGTATTGTAACTTTACAATAGTTTTTGTGAATAATTTTTTCAATAGGTTCTTTACTTTATTCTTCATTGCTGACTGTTTCAGGAGGTGGTAATGTCGTTGTTTCGTTGACTAGTTCATCTACGAAAAGGCATAATGGATTATCAGCATATAAAAATAATGACTCAACATTTGTGATTAGGCATTTTTTTAAGCTAAAAAAATAGAATAAAAGGAGACAAAAAATATCAAAAAAAAAAAAAAAAAACAAAGAGAAAGATGTTGACATTTTCCTGAGATACCTTAAAGAAGGGGAAAGAAGGCTTTGAAGAATGATGTTTGTGTGATAATGGGTTGCTTGAGGTGGGATTAATATGCCTCTAATTTGCAAGAGTGAGGAAAAACTGGGAGCGTGGAGCCACAGGCTTCCTTTGACAGTATGGAAGATCTATTGGATGAGAGACATTGGCTTCACATGGCTCCCTGAACAGGCCTTGAAGTGATACTGTCACTTCAGGACAAGTTGGTTGCTGGTCAGGGTGGTGACATGAAAGAGCTGTAACATCAATGTCCTTGCAAACTGGAAACACATGCATGTTAACTACTCAAAACAGAGTTTTGGCCCTAAAGATTTGTGGCTACAAATCAAGGATTTTCAGGCCTGATTTAGTATATATCTCAGTCTACAATGTGTCCATCTGGAGGTATGTCAGCAATAGTGTATTTGGGAACAGTTGTGACTGAAGGACGATTGTTCTCCCCACGAAGTTGGCAATTTCAGTTAAATTGCTTCACACAAGAGTCAATAAAGTTCCATATGAAGTACAGGCAACCCCACTTTTAGGAAGATTTCTACTGAGCCTACAAACAGCACAGATACCTTGTTGGCAAGGAAGGATGGAAAAAAGAATCCGTTACCAGAGTTGACACAGATTCAGGCAGGGCTGGAACAATTGGTAAGTAATCCTTTAACTCTGCTATGCAACCTTCAGACTTGATTTTGGAGAAAAGTGTCTGGATTGTCTCACTACTGCCTTGCTCTCATCGTTTTAGGGACTAAAAGAATTGTTAGTCAAAATTTTTCTGGAGATTTCCATCTCCCTGGGGAGCTGGCTCCTCCAGAATGTCCCTGCCATGTCAACATGTCTCCCTCTGTTAGGGCCCCTTTTAAAATGGCAAAAATTTCTTAACCCAATACAACTTTGACAATCCTTTGGGGACCTGAATTGTAGGAAGAGAAGTTAGGGTTTTGGAATCTTTTCCATGGGTCCTGTGGTCTTCAATAATCCATTTCCTAAGGGAATTTGAGGTACCTGGTCTGTTTAAGAATTGGCTCTGTGTGTCTTATCCCAAACGGCTGAAGATGTTGTCTGCTGTGTGCAAGCAAAATTCCCATGAGAGGTTTGTCTAATTAATGTATGCCCTTGAAATGTCCCTATCCATTTATGCCCCAAATTTTGGAATTGCTCAAAATATTTCGTTACTGTCAAGTAGCTTTATTAATAATTAGGCATTGCTGAGTCTAGCTTTTTCCAACATTGAATATTGTCATAGCCAGAAATATGCTCTCTTGCCTTATTTATTTTCATCCCCTTTTCCTTGTCTTCTTGTCTTTCATAGATATGAGCTATTGACACTTCAAGGTGAAAGATGTGGTATATGTACTTTAGACACTTTTAATGGCCTCCAGAGTCACACGCTGGCAACAGTTTTATCTATCAATAGTTACACTTGGTGGAAAGATGCAAAAAAGAAATAACATTTGAAGCTGAAAGTGCAAAGCAGAAAGAAGTTAAATGTGGGTTTAAGAAAAAACAATTTTCTAGAGTCCTAAATTTAGTTATTTCATTTTTCTTTCCAAACAAACCAAAAATATGAGGCTAAGAAATATAAGAACATCCTTGCCTTCTGAATTTATCAATGCAATGGCTATGGTGGAGTCTCCCTATTTTAGGAACTAAGACTCCCTGACGACATTAGCTCCACTAAGACCTTTTTCCTACCCAATACTCTAGTGCTATTTTGAAATCTTGCTTTAAGGGTTCTTCATATTTGCAATGGTGCCTTTCAGTACTTACAGTTTCTTAGAGAAAAATTCAGGTCAGTTGTTGCTCTCACAGATATTTCAGACTGTGTGCCATTTGGATTTTGTGTTGTAAACACATCTAAAGACAAAAGATCAAAAATTTTCAGCAGCTTACTAAGTCACTTCTTGTTCCTTTTACATTTTTCCTCACCAGATTTTTTTTTTTCTTAAAACATATGCACTAACTAATTCCAAGAAAAGAATAATAAAGTATTTGAGACACTCTTCAGCTACAAAATAACAAGTGGGGCAAGGGTCAAAAATAAAATTCATGGGGAAAAAAGCCAAACTAGTATCCTTATGCTAACTGACTCTTTCTGAAAAGAAATTATTAAGGAAATTACAAAAAAACATATATAGATGCATAATAGGTGCCAAAGGATTTGTAGATGTGTAATATTATCACTGTTTGTATTAACATTGTCAAATTTCAGCCAAGTAAGAAGCATTCACTTGCCCTTGAACCTTCTGTTAGACTGTAATAGTTCAGCTTAAAAAGCACATACTTCAATAACAATCAAGATCTCCCCAATACATTCACATTTACATATGCACATAAAGAATCCTGCTCTTAAGAGTTGTCAGTGAGGCTGGTTGTAGTTCAAAAATAATGGACATACCCACCCAACCAGAGTCAAAGTAAATTGGATCAAGATGCCAGACTGAACATTCATATGCATGTCTCCCCTTTCTAAAATCTCATGAAATGACAGAAAATTTTACACACATGAATGTTTAGTATATAAATATATATATTCATTTCCCCAACACACACACACACACACACACACACACACACACACACACACACACACTGCCATTAATTTTGAAGAATTTCTGGGCTAGATCTATGGAGAAATAAAAGGAAATCACAGCTCAATATTCATGTTATGAGTTATGAAAGTATAAAAATTAAAACACTGTGGTATTTTTGTAGGGA